TTAAACTGACTATTAAACATCTCTTAATCTCAATTAAAGTAATCGGTCACCAATAATAGTAAGGACACAAACCTTCAAAACAAGTAGCAGGGACGAATACTCGCAAGCAGATTTAAAACGCAGCTGTGCCTTTGCGTTAATAGATGGCAGCAGGTTAGCGGGGGTCCAACAAAGTGCGATAGAGTGGGCTATCTATACTTGTCTTTATCTATGAAAGGGATGAGGGCTTAGACAAGGAAAGAGAAAGTCTCATGCATGAGGGAAAGAACGACTATATAATCGTTCAGAAACAAAGTGACAAGTCAATTGATTATACTCCTGATACAAGGTAAGAAGTTCATCGATCGAAGACTGCATTTTCGTGCGCATATGACTTTACTGGTTAGCACTTTGGTAAAGTGAACAGCTGATCCCATTTAAAATGCATGTAACCTAGACAGATTTTCATTGAATTTAAAACGCAATAGTTCAAAAGTGGAAAGTTATATGAGGATAGGGTTTGCAGTGTTGTATAGCTCAATGCTTTCAAAATCGCGTTTCGGACCTGATTTGGGCTTATTGGTAAGAAAAATACCCTAAAAAAGTCTACAAAATCTGTGATTTTCAGCGTTTTAGCTTGCTGTGTTGCCAGAGTGTCATTCGTAAAATCGGGTAGAGCCAAACGAAACAATTAATTAATTGTATCATTCAATGAATTCATTGAATCATGGGGTGAATGCGTTTTGGCGTGTTTGGGAATCTTGTAGACAAACAACTGAGCATTTTGCGTTTGATAGTTGGAAAGTTTACTGTAGAAAGTGTGCAAGCTATAGGAGAATGCTTGTTGTGCGGATACGAATATGCTCTCAGCATTTCAAAAATGATGATAATGAGAGGAATTTGCAATTCGAACTTTTTGGGTACTCGCCAAAAGCAAACGCTATACTTTATTGCACATCTGGCAACTATGATAGCGTACAAACTAAATAAATTTTTATTACTTTTCATTTTCAAGTTTAAAACCTGCTGCATAGCATTTTGTAATTATAAAGAAAATTGTAAAACCAATATTAAATGTGACAAAGACTAAATAAGCTATATTTAATCACATTTCCAGCTGGCAGACAGGAAAAAATCACGCAGTGACTTCCACTGACGTCACGCAAATCGACGCAAGATCCTACCTTGTATTCATTGTATCATGCCATCATACCATGGGGGTCTCACTCAAATAGT